ACAACCTGGGATAAGTGTGTCGTTACACACACACACACACACACACACACATTGCAGTTATGTGTATATATAAATTATAATATAATAAATAATTTATTAAATTTTTTGCATTTTTATGTCATTTTTTATATATTTTTATATTTATGATTTCTTTTAATATTTATTTTCTTTTTATATTTATATAAATGAAATAAATATAAATTAAACATAATCAAAAATTGCAAATGTTACTTTGGCAAACAACTGAAATAAAATAACATATTTCAAACACTTTATATTAAATATTAAACTTTACACACTATCACAGACATCATTAATAACACTTTTGTCTGTTTAAAATGTTCCTTGAACTTTGCCTGCATGTGCTTTATTCAGTTAAACCTTTCACTCTTACCCTGACCTTTTACTCAGCTTTGTAGTTTTTGCTCTTCTGACCTTTAAATTATTGACTTAAACCACAAGGACAAGTTGTCCTAATATTAGACAGTGCAATGTCTAAAGTACAAGCCTGTGAGACATGTATGTCAATGAGATAATTATTGATGTGTGAGTCAAGGCATCCTTGAAATTATAGCAAAAACCTCCACAGCACTCTTTTATAATGGAATGATTCGAGTTGATTCCATTCAAGAAATGCCCCACAAATAAATAAATATTATATTATATTATATTATATTTGCAATGAAATAATTTAGGCTACCTGTCAACTCACATAGGTTAGCAAGCTATGTGATCTTAAAGGGATAGTTCCCCCAAAAATGAAAATGTGATGTTTATCTGCTTACCCCCAGGGCATCCAAGATGTAGGTGACTTCGTTTCTTCAGTAGAACACAAACCAATATTTTTAAGTCAAACCGTTGCAGTCTGTCAGTCATATAATGTCAGTGGATAGGAATCACGGCTTTGAGAGTCATAAAACATACACAAACAAAACCAAATGAAACCCTGCGGCTCGTGACTATACATTGATGTGTAAAGACATGAAACGATCGGTCTGTGCAAGAAACTGAACAGTATTT